TAGAATCAGGGGAGGTGTACATAAATGTGTGCGTTTATGAAGTTTGTGTCAGAGTCCTTGGCCTCCAGTAGCTATCGTCCGGTATTACTGCCGATCCGCGAAGTGCAATTTGTGGTACTCCTTCAGTGTGCAGATAGCGCGTTGAGATAGCGGGACTTCGCCACATTAACCTGAGTTATTGTCTTAACGCGTGTCCTATCTACTTTTGTGTTGGCTTTACACAGTCTCTACTATTGAGGGTCTCAAATTTCCTTCTTATTATCATCCTGTCCTCTTTCACTACCAACGCAGGATGAATGAAGTGGTATCTCAGGCCAAACGATTTCCCAATCTGTTTCCCAACTGACTGTATTGCGAATGTTCACAAAACAAGCTGCCACCTGAACAGTATAAAAGTATCTTACCCATCGTAGACCGTAGTACCTGAGATGTTAGTGGATATGCTACATGCCGTATATACCGCACCCAAATTCTGAAAAACCGAAAAGTAGGCAAAACCAAATCCTAACACCTGTAAGGCACTATGCTCTAGGGACGTCAAAGACGAGCTTTTCACTAACTGAGTCCAGTGTACTGCTTATTGTAAACACGGTAGTCAATTAGTTGTAAGCTTAGGAATCAAGGTTTTTTCTGCAGTATGGACATTTTGGGTTGACTGTGCGGGCTAACGCTCCCTCCCGTCGACAAACCTTACGCCCACCGGCCTTTTGGGAGAAAAATGCGTAGATTTTATCCTGCAAGGAAGGCTGCATCTCCTTCAGGAGCCGGCGGGTCTTACCGTGGGTGAAAAAGGCTTGCGCGCATTGATCTCTACCTGAACTGAATCCCGGTTTCTCTATTTTAGTGCCGTTTCTAAGTCGAAGGTCTTTTGTGCAGTCTGTGGCTTTCGTTTTAGACGGAGGAGACCTGCGTATTCTTGTATATTTTCTGCACCTAAGCTGCCATTTGTTCTTCTCTGCGTTCGCTCTTTGTGATATTTAATGTCCAGCTTGTCCTTGTTGATAGATCATCCTAGAATGCGACCCTCCTGTCCTGCGAATAGAGACTTTCGAGGCTGAGGACAGGAAACCCGATCTGCGTATTCACCTGGATAGGAGCAAGATACTGTCAGTAGCCAAACCGGCGGTGGGCGAGTTCCTGCGAATGTTGCAGGTAGGACACTTTTTCATGTGCTTTGCTTAAAACGTGGCATCTGTTTTCTTCCTTAACGCTAACCAATCTTGCGAAGGCTATTGGTTGCCACTGCAACACCGATTGGTGCAGCTTCTGAAGCGCCAAGAACCTCGGACGTTTTAAATGGAAAATATAATGTCTACTAGTATACATCCAGTAGGTCTCTTGGAAGCATGACACCTATATCGATTAGAGCTCTGTTTTGAGTGCAAGAAATATATATATATATATATATATATATATATACATATATATATATATATATAT